ATGTTTAATGAAAATGCTTTACATAAACTGTGAAATCCTGGTAATAAAACAAAAACTTAAAGCAACAAAGTGCTTAAATCCAAGCATTAATATAGAGGCATATACAGCAGAAAATACACTAGGACAGAATAAAAGGAGTCCCACAAGCCGTGATGAGAAAAATAGGATGAGCTCCTCAAGCTGTTGCCATCAAACACTTGTAAAGTCTTCCAGGTGTCATTGATCAATCACAAGGCTTACTAAATAATGCAACCTTCCATATAAGAGTGGTCACATGCACATAAGGAAATTCACCCAGGGAAAGGGCACTTTCTTCAGCCTCCCCTCATCCGCAGAGACACCGGGAATTTGCTGCCAGTTTTCACCATATACACTGCTCAAAAAAATTAAAGGAACACTTTTTAATCAGAGTATAGCATCAAGTCAATTCAACTCCTAGGATATTGATCTGGTCAGTTAAGAAGCAGAGGGGGTTGTTAATAAGTTTCAGCTGCTTTGGTGTTATTTAAATTAACAACAGGTGCACTAGATGGACAACAATGAGGCAATCCCCAAAACACTTTTTAATCAGAGTATAGCATTAAGTCAATTAAACTCCTGGGGTATTGATCTGGTCAGTTAAGTAGCAGAGGGGGTTGTTAATACGTTTCAGCTGCTTTAGTGTTAATGACATTAATAACAGGTGCACTAGATGGGTAACAATGAGACAACCCCAAAACAGGAAAGGTTTTACAGGTGGGTGCCACTGACATTTTTTCCCTGCTCATCTTTTCTGACTTTTTTTCACTAGCTTTGCATTTGCCTAGGGTCAGTGTCACTACTGGTAGCATGAGGCGATACCTGGATCCTACAGAGTTTGCACAGGCAGTCCAACACCTCCAGGATGACACATCTATATGTGCCATTGTGAGAAGGTTTGCACAGTCTCAAGAGCATGGAGGAGATTCCAGGAGACAGGAAGGTATTCTAGGAGAGCTGGACAGGGCTGTAGAAGGTCCTTAACCCATCAGCAGGATCGGTATCTGCTCCATTATGCAAGGAGGAACAGGATGAGCCCTACAAAATGACCTCCAGCAGGCCACTGGTGTGACCAAACAATCAGAAACAGACTTCATGAGGGTGGCCTGAGGGCCGGACGTCCTCTAGTGGGCCCTGTGCTCACTGCCCAGCACCATAGAGCTCGATTGGCATTTGCCATTGAACACCAGAATTGGCAGGTCTGCCATTGGGGCCCTGTGCTTTTCACAGATGAGAGCAGGTTTACCCTGAGCACATGTGACAGACGTGAAAGGGTCTGGAGAAGCCGTGGAAAACATTATGCTGCCTGTAACATCGTTCAGCATGGACATTTGGTGGTGGGTCAGTGATGGTCTGAGGAGGCATATCCCTGGAGGGATGCACAGACCTCTACAGGCTAGACAATGGCACCCTAACTGCCATTAGGTATGGGGATGAAATCCTTGGACACATTGTCAGATCCTATGCTGGTGCAGTGGGTCCTGGGTTCCTCCTGGGGCACGAAAATGCTTGGCCTAATGTGGAGTATGCAGGCAGTTCCTGGAGGATGAAGGAATTGATACCATTGAATGGCCCCCACACTCGCCTGACCTAAATCCAATAGAACACCTTTGGGATATCATGTTTTTGTCCATCTGACACCACTAGGTTACACCTCAGACTGTCCAGGAGCTCAGTGGTGCCCTTGTCTAGATTTGGGATTAAATACCCCAGGACACCATCCGTCAACCCATTAGGAGCATGCCCCGACATTGTCAGGCATGCATACAAGCACATGGGGGCCATACAAACTACTGAGTACCATTTTGAGTTGTTGCAATGATATTTCAGCAAAATGGACTAGCCTGCTGCATCATTTTTTCACTTTGATTTTCAGGGTGTCTTTGAATTCAGTCCTCTGTAGGTTGATCATTTTCATTTCCATCAAATGGATGGGGCATCCTTACATTCCTAACACATTACCCAGTCCATATCAGTATAGATATCCAGCATGATATTTTTCCCCATCGAGGTCTGATGTGTTTTCAAAGTGTTGCTTTCTTTTTTTTGAGCAGTGTACATCCACAACTTTCAGGGAACCACTGCACCACTGGGAATTAGCTCAACAGGACTGATGCACAGAAACACTCCACATAGCGTAAAACCACCCATAAAAGAAATGTATTTAAGTCTAAGCACCTACAAACATCCAGAAGTAACACAGGATATCACATGGTACAACAACATAGAATTCCAGCATCAAAGATGGCCACCTTTCCTTTGCACATGCTCAGTAGTGTACATCCGGGTCCGCCCTACCAGTTTCATCACAAATTATATCACCAGGTGCCTCTGCTGTGTATGCACCTCTGCCATATATACAAAATACATCAGTTGAATATGGTAGGGTTGAACATTAAGTGAAATGTGTTGTTTTCACTAGTGACAGTGCCAGCTATAGCAGAGATGTCCTTAGAAACCTCCTGGGAGCTCTGTGTGTTGGAGCTCAGAGGTTGCATGGGACAACTGTGGTGCCACTCTGGTTGGACAGAGCGGACCTGCACTTTACAATAATAATGTGTTGATGTGGTTCACTAATACTAGCAATGGTCATATCGATAATGGGTTAATAAAGTCTGCTAAAACTGAACATGGAAAGTTTGATGTGTTTAAAGCAAAACTCCATCAAATGTTTTATTTTCCCATGCATAGGAATATATGTATTTATTTAAGAAACTGTAGGACTTTCCTTTGTGTGCCAGTCTTTAATTCTTTCAAAGTGTCTGGGCTGAATAAAGCCTTTGATGCCTCTAGTTGAACAGTGCAGTCTTGATTTAGTAAGTACTAACTGCAGCCTGTGTAATAACTGCAAAGATCTAATGTGTGGCTTGCACTGTGTTACCCCATAGCAGTTCCTCCATTTTCCAACAGTTATTTCCCAGTGCAGGGTTGAACCTAGCAGAAAATATAGTGCTTACTTTAGGCCATTACATGGGGCTTATTTTGTACAGAGAAAGAAGTAGAAGCATGCTTGATTCATATTAACCTTTTGTTTTCTCTATCACATTTACTGTATATTGTACTCCCAGTATTTATAAATATTTATTTTTTATTATTCCAAGTATTTTGTGCATTTAGTATACCACCAAGCACCACAAAATTCGATTTCAAAATGGACTGAGCCAGGTTGAAAATGATTAGTCAAGGAGCGACTACTTCCTATCAGATGCAATCAGTGTTCAACAGTGCCAGTAGCTGCAGGAGGCACAGTTGCCTGAATATAATGAAGATTCCTTTATCCATTCTGTTTAGCATAGATGGGGAAATTAAATGGCTATCTCCTTGTCTTTCATGGGCTGAATGGCCAAAATTTGAGCCATCCATGCTGAGCTTAAGTGCTACAGCTGAAATATAATGCATATAATAACATTGTTACTTGTAGTCAGTTTAGCCAGATTAATAGACTTGGCAGAGAGGATCTATAAATCAGTATCCTTGTGCATTACCACCAAGCAAAATATGATATGTGTATATTTAAATATGTAATTTTTGTTCTAGCCAGCATGACCACACTATAAACCTGTGCACATATTTTGTAGTCAAAAAGCTTGTACTTTCTGAGATATGCCCAGCTCTCCAATATGCAAGTGAGTTACCTAGCAAAGCTATCAAGATGTCATGATTTCTCCTTAGGAAGATGAAAAGAGTTATTCAAATGTTGGCAACCTTATCTTTAGTAGATTTTTAGGGGCAGACAGCACGGGAGACTGCGGCCATCGGAAAAGATAAGTAAGGACCTATGGTGGGAGGGAAATGGGTGGCATGGCTAACTATATCGAGGAAGTTAGGGTGGATGAATGCAGGTGCAGTCTGTTTTCTCCACTGCATGTGGCACTCAACCGAGTGGTACAGCAGCCTGGAGAGGAAGTCAAGGTATACCTTGTTTCTTGGGTCATGGAGCAGTGTCCCTGCCTCCATGGCAGCCCTGGGTCAGCAGGAACTTTATAAGTCCCTGCCCCCAGGTTTTGGCACACATTTTTGTGAAGTGGGTAGAGTAGGGAAAGATACCCCATCTGACAGGGAAAGTGACTAGTAGCAGGGAAAGGTTCCTGATGAGTAGGAACAGGCGATCCTCAATGAAGCTTCTCCTTTGGGACTGGACCGGCCAGACTGCACACTGCCTTCTGAAACAAATGCGATCGGTACATCTCTTCCCACTGCATCTCTGCATAGAACGGAACTGTCAGTGTTTTCCCTAATCGGCACTCTCCCACTGGAGTGTTTGTAGTTTGCCATTTTCTTCAATACAAGTTCCAAGTTTTATTGAAACCTGACTGTATCTTTACTGCCGCCATACCATGCTGTACCTCCCCACAAGAAGGCTGTTTTAGGTACTAACACACATTGATAAACTTTAATAAAGCATATGATATCAACATGTACACAATAGGTAAAATACAATACATTTCCTTTAAAGTGACTCATAAAGGTTAGAGTATATATACATATTCCACTGTCCACTATTCTAAATGCCACTATAATGAAGAAAAAGTGCCTTCAAGAACCAACACTTACAGCTTGCCATCCTGGACTCCCAGGATCCACTGAGCCCATAAGGGGGACATGGGCATCTGACAGCCATGGGCAGTGGGGTATCAATGTAATTTCTATCTTTGCAGGGGCATCTGTTATAGCCACTTTGATTTTAATGACCAAGTTGCTTTAGTAGGCATGAAAGCCGACACATATCACTGACCAAAAAAGCAAAGGAAACAAAAAATTGGTTTCACTGATGATAATGGGTTACCCATGATGACTGTGTTGTTAAGCAACCAAAACCCAGAGTGACACAATTATTTATGTGTTTTTCATCTGAAGAAAACTTTATTTAACACCGTGGTTAACATAACCTAAACCTGAAATTTGAGCTCGAAAGGATACAAAACAATAACAAAAGCTACAAAACCTAACACATGTAATAAGCAAAGATGTCTTGTGATAAATTAAACATGGCCTTCCTTGAGGTCACTGACCACAGCAGTTGTAGAGAAGGAAAACGGAGTGAGGAGCACAGCAATGGTGTAGTGGCGGTGTCCAGCATCATTCGCAGTAAACACAACCTGCAGCAAACAGAACAGACAACCATGTTACATTATAAACTCTATACCATGTTATAATTTTATAAGTTCACCTGACTTGTTTAGATCCCATCTTTATACACTTTACTATTAAAAATCACTATGATCTACCTTACCTACATGATTACTAGGGATGCACCAATACTATGTTTTGATCAGTGAGTACGAGTACCGATACTTTCGTCAAGTACTTGCCAATACTGAGTCAATACAAAATGTATGGACGCAAATTGCACTGCAAAGAATAGAGGACGATTTGAACAGGAATGCTGTTCGTGTCCAAATTGCACTGCTCCTGTGTGAACCCAGGCTTATCATAGCCTGAGTTCACACAGGAGCGGTGCTGGAAAACTCCCTGCACCAATCCCATGCTGAGCGGAGAGTGGAGAAGGGCATGTGGGAAAATTTGATCCCTTGGTGTCAGTTATCAGAGAAGGGAGACAGATGCTCCAGATTCTCAGCTGTAGGAGAGGAGAGAAAGCTGCGGGATTTGTAATCCCTCTGGCTTTCTCTCCTCTTCTTGCAGGTAGGGTCGTAGATAAGGGGGTACCACCAGTCCTCATGTACGGGGCCCAGGACAGCAGGGGGGCCAGGCAGCTGGGTGAATTTGATGTGGGCAGCGAGGGTGATTGGTATGGTGGGAGAGGGTAATTACTAGACTTGATCCCCTGTATCACTCTCTCTGCAGCAGCTGAAAATTGGCTTCTTCTCCTCTTCCTCCTGCTGGCTTTCAGCTGCTCCAGAGAACCATACAGGGGATTGGTTCCAGTAATTGCCCCCTGCTGCATCCATCACCCTCCCTGTACACCTTACATTTACCCCTGCTGTCCAAGCCCCCTGTGCGCCCCCACCCCCACAGTGCTGCCAGCTTCCCTCGTCTCTTTTTTTAGCAGCTGCATACACACAATAAGATCTTTCAGAATGGAGAGTGGAGGAAAGGTCCAGTAAATATGTCACATTTACCAGCCCCTTCCTTTCCCAAATGCACACAATGACTGATTGGTGCCAATCGCTCACTGTGTACATTCATAACTGAAGCATAGTAAACTTTTTTTGGAAGGGGGGTGCCTGCAAGGCTGGCTGTATGGGGCCCCATTTCTGACAACAGCCCTGCTTGCAGGGATGATTACAGACTAAACAACTAACAACAGTGCTGACCAGTCAGAAGCCGTCTAGCCCTGTTGCAAAGAAAGATAGCCAACACCAATGTATACATCCCTACACATCCTTCTCTCCCACTGTCTGCTCAGCATGGGATCGGTGCAGGGAGATTTCCCACACCGCTCCTGTGTGAACTCAGGCTACGACAAGCCTGGGTTCACACAAGAGAAGTGGGAAGCTGCATGCGATTTGGACAGGAATAAAATTCCTGTTCATATCACATGCTATTCTTTGTGGTGCATTTTGTGTCCATACATTTTGTATTGATGCAAGTCGCACCACAAAGTATCAGTTTGGGTATTGGGAGCATTTTCTTGACTATGAGTACTCATACAAATTATTCATTATCACCACCGATACCAGCATTAGTGTATCCATAATAATTACCCAATCTCCTGTTGGGGCTCGATACTATCTATCATCGTGATAGATAAAAGCTGGATATCAGTATATTTTCTTTTTATAACTTTTTACAGAATAATTTGTTTAACAATTTGTAAAGTATCTTTTGTTAGTTTGGGACCATCAGTATTGTAGGTGTACAACATGGTACAAGCTGGAATGTCCTTAAAAGAAGCAGTCCACATTTGTTTGTGACCAATGTTAATGAAGCCTGGTGAAGCAGTAATCTTTATATATTACTGGTATTTCCAACGTAAGAGTCAGGGCTACTGGTAGAGAGTGCACCTGTACTTCTGTACTGGGTCCAGGTCCAACTGGGTCAGCAGGGAGTCCACATTTGGCTTGGAAGAAGGAGGAGTCCCTGTATAAATGAGAATGGGCATTGCTAGCACTGAGCACATGGCCTACATCTGCAGATGAGTGCCCCCGGTCCTAGGGCTGCGACTGCCTGACATTTGGTAAGGATCTACATTGTATGTGAATGCGGGGAGAGCCAAGGATCTACTTTGTATGAGAGTGTGAGGGGAGGCAGAGGGCTGCATTGTTTGTGGAGCGGTGAAAGAATGGGTGCAGAGGCAAGCCATGAATGAGTGAGAGAAGAGGCAAGCTATGGATGAATGGGTGTGAGGCAAGCCATGGATGAATGGGTGAAGAAGCAAGCCATGGATGAATGGGTGAAGAAGCAAGCCATGGATGAATGGGTGAAGAGGCAAGCCGTGGATGAATGGGTGAAGAGGCAAGCCATGGATGAATGGGTGAAGAGGCAAGCCATGGATGAATGGGTGAAGAGGCAAGCCATGGATGAATGGGTGAAGAGGCAAGCCATGGATGAATGGGTGAAGAGGTAAGCCATGAATGAATGGGTGAAGAGGTAAGCCATGGATGAATGGCTGAAGAGGCAAGCCATGGATGAATGGCTGAAGAGGCAAGCCATGGATGAACGGCTGAAGAGGCAAGCCATGGATGAACGGCTGAAGAGGCAAGCCATAGATGAACGGGTGAAGAGGCAGGCCATGGATGAACGGGTGAAGAGGCAAGCCATGGATGAACGGGTGAAGAGGCAAGCCATGGATGAACGGGTGAAGAGGCAAGCCATGGATGAACGGGTGAAGAGGCAAGCCATGGATGAATGGGTGAAGAGGCAAGCCATGGATGAATGGGTGAAGAGGCAAGCCATGGATGAATGGGTGAAGAGGCAAGCCATGGATGAATGGGTGAAGAGGCAAGCCATGGGTGAGGTAGGGGGAAGAGACAAGCAGTTGATGAGGGGTTGCAAAAGTGAGCGGTGGACCAGAGGTGCAGGCAGGTCAGAAGTGAGTGGTGTGGGTTTTTTGCTTACAGTGATTGTAAAGGCAGACTTTTTTTTTTAACCCCTTGCCTACTGTGCACTTTTACCTCCTTCCTGCCCAGGCCAATTTTCAGCTTTCAGTGCTGTCACACTTTGAATGCAATTGCGCAATCATGCAACACTGCACCCAAACAACATTTTTATCTTTTTTTGAGACAGATAGAGCTTTCTTTTGGTGGTATTTAATCACCACTGGGTTTTTTTATTTTTTGCTAAACAAACTAAAAACTAAAAAATAAAAAGTTTTTCTTTGTTTCTGTTATAACATTGTTTAAATAAGTAATTTTTCTCCTTCACTGATGTGCGCTGATGAGGCTGCAGTGATGGGCACTGATAGGTGGCACCGATGATGAGGCACTAGTAGGTGGCACTGAAAGGAATCATTGATGGGCACTGAAAGGCAACACTCATATATGGCACTGATAGGCAGCACTGATGGGCACTGAGAAACAGCACTGACAGGCAGCACTGACTTGCGGCACCGATAGGCGTCACTGATGGGCACTGATATGTGGCATTGATGTGCACTGGTAGGCATTGATGGGCACTGGTATGTGGCATTGATGGGCACTGCCAAGTGGCACTGATGGGGCTACACTGATCATCATGGCACTGATGATCAGTGCCCTGATGATCAGTGTAGATGTCCCCTCTGAGGAATGCCGCTTGCCGGCTCTCCTCTCCTCACGCGCTGTCAGTGTGAGGAGAGGACTGCCGATAACCGGCATTTCGTGTTTACATGCGATCAGCTGTGATTGGACACAGCTGATCACATGACAGAGCCTGTGTCATCGGCTCTTTACTGTGATTGGTGATCCGCTATGTCCCAGGGACACAGCGCAGCACTGGTCGCCACCGATCGCCACAATTAGAGTGGGAAGAAATCATATGACATCATCCCATAATGAGAGAACCGCAGCCCACCCATCATTTCCTTATATGGCGGGCAGGAGGCTGTTAAATAACAAACATTACCTGCTCTGTGCAGTGGTTTTGCACAGAGCAGCCCTGATCCTTCTCTTCTCGGGTTTCCCATTAGCGCTCCTGGCCCTGGCCTTCCCTCTTGCCAAGTGTCCCCCACAGCAGGCAATTTGCTATAGGTGCACCCCAGCAGGCTGGCTCCAGAGCTGCTGCTCTGCATGTCCCTTCACAGACAGATGCAGCTCAGTTCTGCCCTCCACTCTCTCCTTCATGGCTCACTGGCTGTGATTGGCTCCCAATGCTGACTCAGCCAATCAGGAGGGAGAGACCATGGACAGCCGAGGCTCTCATGCACATTGCTGGATCAAAACAGGGCTCAGTTAGGTATACATAAAGGTAAAAAACTTGAGCCTTTACAACCACTTTAAAGTGGTTCTAAATTCTAAACATGTTTTTAGCTCAATGCATTCCCTGCATTAAGAAAAAATTTTTAGCTACTTTTTCTACTCCCCGCCCCTAAACACTTGCACTGTGTGTGTCTATGGATGCACAAAGCTCAGCTTAGAAGCAAGCCTGCCTGGGTGCCCACTCAACACATGGCTTGCTATGGGGGCACTCATGCTTTAGTAGTACTGAGGTAGGGAGGGTTTCCATTTTTTTTTTCCAAGAGTTTTTCTTGGGTGTTTTTTTTTTTCACCAGAATGCTAGCAATCTGTTCTCTGTATTAAGAAGTATTGACTGCAGAGAATGCTTCCTTTATTCTTTGGTTTTCACAGCTCTGATGAGACTCTTTCTGAAGCTGTCAGAGCTGCAGGATGAAAAAGACATAATTCTGTTTATATTTTTCCCAATCAGCTCAAGCATTGTTAGCATGAACCATGCCATTTGTGGAGGGACCTGAAAGATGGTAGGATCCTACAATCCTGAAAGAACCAGATTTCTATTTATCTCATAAGAAATACAAACTCCAGCTTATCCTTTCTCTGTATGAAATTATGCTGGTTACTCTTTTCCTTTTGTGTTTAGTGCAGAAAGGTTCAGAGTTCAGTCAGTATCTTGACATTTCCACTCTCTACTTCTGTGCTGCAGAGGTATCCTACAGGGAAGGTCTGTATGGGTCCCATGATTTCTAACGGCAGTCCTGGCATGAGTTAATGGCCAGTTATGACTTGGACAAGTCTATACACCTCTATTGCCATTAAAACTCACTGCAAATCAAACAGATAAATTCACACATGAAAGTACATACTGTATGAGAAAGCTGTTTTTTTCTGTCAGAATTTGTATTTCTGTCCACCCAGTCCTGAGATTTACACAGCTCTGAAACACAGCACTGTCTAGCAGGGGATGGGATTGGGTGATAGGTTCTTTGTGTTGCTTTTCGTCTTCCCTTTCCTTCCCTTAGCTCTGCTGTACAGGCTGTATAGTAGACTGCACAAGACTGATACTATGGCAAATTCAGGTACCTAAACTGGTTGCATTAAAAAATAAATTGAATGATGTATTTAAGATGCTGCAGTGATTAGTTTATTTTATATCTGTCGGAATGGGTCAGTTTAAGTGTTAGGGTTGGGGAGGGGTCAGTATTAAGGGTTTGAACTAGGTAAGTGTTCAGATAGGACTTACATTTTAGGGGGGTGTTATATAGCTATGGGGGAAGGGGGGTTAGGGTAGGCTGTATGGGGCCCCATAATTTCTTATGGCAGATCTGGCAAGAGTTACCAGATGGCCATTTCAGTTTTGGATGAAAGTTGAATGCGAGGCAAGCAGCTAAATAACACATGCCATCATACCTACCAGGATTAGTATTTCTGGGGACGGGATAGAATATTGACCAGCTGCACCATTCCCACTTAGAGCTCAGAGCCTAGTGTAAAAACTGCCAGCCCCAGGAGTTGGGAACAAATTATTGATGGATTAGGAATCAGATGCTTTGTTCTGTCTAGAACATACACCTACAAAAACGGGTTGCCAAAGGCAGCTTTTGTATTTTTATCCTGACATGCCCTCTCAACAGGAACCCCATAGAAGCCATGATAATAACATACACATTGATAAATCCCTCCCCCAGGTCATTAGTGACATCAAAATATCAGCTTACATCAACGTATTCATGGAATGGAGATAGGCCAAGCTTGCTCCAAAATGGTTTAGTTGCAAATTCCAGCTTATAAATTCCTTCTACAAACTGTTCTTCAATAACGAGGTTATGGATTTCCCCTTCAGCTGATGTAATTCTGGGGGGAAAAAATTGGTTATTAAAGTTGTATGATTTTCAGATTTATGTTGATACAGGGTAATATTTGTGCTGTAATAATGACACGAGCTAACAACCCCAACCACAGCACCACCTGCCTGGAGTTTGCATGTTCTCCCTGTGTCTACGTGGGTTTCCTCCGCATACTCCGGTTTCCTCACACACTCCAAAGAGATGCTGGTAGGTTAATTGGATTCTGTTTAAATTGGCCCTAGTATGTGTAAGTATGAATGTGAGTTAGGGACCTTAGATTGTACGCCCCTTGAGGGTTAGAGACTGATGTGAATGTACAATGTATATGTAAAGAGCTGTGTAAATTGACGGCGCTATATAAGTACCTGAAATAAATAAATAAGTGACATAAGAAAAAGTGACATAAGAAAAAGTGGCCAGCTCACCCAGAAGAGACCAGATCCCAGCCCTTGTCTTCACTCTTTTTGAACACCTTTACTGGCAGTTTGGCTGCTGGGATTCCCCTCACAGCATCCAGAACCTTCACCATCAGAGGACACTTTGAATCTGCTTCCCCGTGTGTGCCTTGTGCCTTAAAATGGGAAGAAATTTTTTTTCTTTTAATGGTGATAAATAAGCAGATTTGTGTGTACAGTATCCTTTCAACCAGGTGATGTACATAGCAGCAATAAGACTCTAGGGGGTGTATTAAAAAAAATGCTCAGAGCTATTCATCCTGCAAAAATGCCTGTAGATTTTTTTCTGTGCGAATGCCAGTAAAATCAAATGTTACTAGGTCATATTCTCTCCTGGTGAAATGTTATTCATTCGTAAAAATAGAGTGGTAATACTGCATTATGGCCACTAGATGGAGCTTACCATCATAGTAAATAAATGTTTCTTTCCTAAGATCATTAGCTCCATCTAGTGGTCATATTTTCATGATTCATGCTATGGTTATGAATGAAGAACATCTGACCAGGAGAGAAAATAACCTAGAAACTAGTGATGCACCGATACATCGGCCGGTGAAAATTATCGACCGAAAAGAGGGTTATTGGCAAAAAAAAAAAAAAAGTGGCGTTAATTATGATTGACTTCAATGCAAAATTTCATCCCATTGACTTCAGTGCAAAAACACCCCTTATCGACTTCAATGCAAAATCGCATCACATTGACTTCCAAGCAAAAATGGCACAAAAACATTTTTTATTTTTATATATATTTTATTTTCTGTTCAATTTTTGTGTTACTTTCAATAAAAGTTATTTTACGTTGCTGGGTTGTATTTTTTTAATTCATATGTATTTAAATTCATGATATTAAATGAAAAAGTTGAATATAATACAATTATATATAAAATAAAATGTAAAAAATATATATATATATATTATTTATTTATTTATTTTAAACTGCATTTTTTGGTTTTCCTGCATCCTGAATTTTTGGTTTCAGTATTAGTCCAGAATTTTCATTTCGGTACACCATTACTAAAAACAATAGATTTTGCCAGTATTCACACAGAACAGGTGTACATGCTGATTTGTAGAATGAATAGCTCTGAGAATATTTTATAAAATACACCCCAAAGTGTACATCTTACCAATTCAACGCAAGTGAGATACAACGGCAAACCGATATTTGGCTGAACAGTGCAGGTACTTTAGACCTCTTTCAACTGGGGACAATGTATTTATTTATTTCTTGCTCTTTGGTTCTTTCCCAAGTGGGGATAATATATTTACTTGTTTGACAATCATATAGTCTATGCACCCTTATTATGGATGTGTATATATTTTTTGTTCATAGATCCTTTTCCATTTTGATACTTTGTCATCTACCTGGCTTCTTATGCATCTGGCTTCACTGCCTAATATACACTAGATAGGGGTAGGTAAAATCCTTTCCTTTTTGACTCATATTTTACATATACACATTCATTTTGAAAATATTAATAGTTTATTCATTTTTTTGTTAGCCAGATATTGCACGGTGATGAAAATCCTGGGTCCCTCTGTGGTTTGGTAGAACTACAGTGACATTAATTTTAATTCTATGTCAGCGGCTATGTTTGTCTATAATGCACACTGAGGTCAGTGGTGACTCTGATAGAAACATGTTGTCCATGTACAATAATAGATTGTTATTAATATAATGTTCTTTGAATTGTAGCATATTTTGAATACACAGAAAGCATCCCTGAGGAAGAAGGAGGCTTTGAAAAGCAGAAAGTGCTGTACCTCTGGACTATCTATCAGTTTAAATTCATATTTCTTTTCTTCCCTATGCAGTAATATATATGTGCAAACATTGTCTGTAGCCACAATATCTGTATCATTATGATTTTTTTAACCTAATTTTTTAACAAAAAAAAGTTTGGACTAATACAAATTTGGATAATTTTTATATCAAAATATCTTTTGGTTGTTAATGTAGCCTCTAAAAGTCCCATTTATTGGAGTGGATTCTTGGTCTTGTGTATATATAGTGATGATGGTTACTCAATAAGCACCATATCCCATCTTAATATTCTTCCTTTATGTTTGCTGACCCCCTGGATTGAAGTTGGAACAAGCCTGCACCCCATGTTCTGGGAGAAGCAGGGTGTGCTTTTGCCTCTGCTTTGAGTGGCACCAGTGGCAATCTAACAGCTCGCAAGAACACGGATCCCCATTAATAAATATATATCCTGTGTTCCTGTTCTGGTAGCAGCTAAAAAATTAGGAATTTTCTTCACTTCTAGTCTTGGGGACAGTGATCAGCAATACAAATAGTAAAGAAGAAGCTCCTCAGCAGAAATACAGGCAGCAAGAAATACCAGTCAGGTTGTAGTAACTCTTCCACACTATCCAAAACTAAAAGAAAAATTGGAACTGAAAACAATGTAAAGTATGTTTTATTTTTTTTTCAAATAACAAACATGCAATACTAACCTGCTCTGTGCAATGGTTTTGCACAGAACAGCCCCAAACCTTCTCTTCTCTGGTCCCTGAAACTCCTGGCTCCTCCCCCCTGTCAAGTGTCCCTATAGCAAGCCACTTGCTATGGGGGCACTTGTGCATGCTCGCTTCTGAACCCTGCTCTGTGTCCATAGACACTCAGAGCACAGCTCAGCCCCGACCCCTGCCTCCCCTCATTGGCTGTGATTGAGAGCAGCAAAAGCCAATGGCTCCCACTGTGGTCTCTCAGCCAATGAGCGGGAAAGAAGAAAAACACTGCTCTTGTGCACAGCATTGGATTGAGATCAGGCTCAAGTAAGTAATGGGGGGGCTAAGGAGAGAACAGACCACAGAAGGTTTTTAAACCTTAATGCGCAGAATTAAAAACCAGCTAGCTTTACAACCACTTTAAGTTCCAATGCTGTTGGGCAATGGCTGTAGCATATGAGATTTTATTCAAGGATAATCCCATATTAGGCTTCTTGTACATTTTTTTTACTGACATGAACATGGGTACATTGTGTATAGAACAATGCACGCAGCTGCAGAAAAATCAGTAATGCAGTGACTGTGTGGAGCTGACCATCTTGACAGGAATGGTTTTACCAACTAACCACTTGCGCTAAATGTGTTGCGCTGTCAAGCAGTGAAACCAATTCATATATAGTTCTTAATAACCAAGTGGTTTAATAAATAAAATCGCAAATCATAGTGAACAAATATAAAATCGGTAATGACAAAAATCAACAAGTGCTAAATAAATACATACAAAGTCCAGAAGAAATAAAGTGCATCAAATAAAGTCTCTATGTGAAAAAGGTGCATTCATATATAAAGGAAGCATTCTGAAATTCTGTGCAGAATTCTTCATCCACATCACCGCTGTGCACCACAGCACAGATGATACTAAAGCTGCTTATCAAAAGGGAAGTCCACTTTATAGGGAGAAATCCCAAACTGAATGGCTCAGATGTACCCTGTAACATAGGAAATCTTGACTTTTTGAGTTCTGTAGGTGTGAACTGACACCTCTGTAGTTGGCCCCACTAACCTGTAGATCAACAACTTTAGACTTCAAAAGTAATTTTATTGAGAAGATCACTCATAGGTTAATGAGGAAAGATTTCTCATGGTGCAGCTCACTAATTAGATGAAATAGCATCTTAGTGCCTAGCCTGTCAGTATCTGAAGGAATGCTACAATGTAATGCTAAGGGTGAGGCTGTACTGAATAATTGTCAGCAGTAATTGTAATAAGTACATTAGAACAACATAAAAAAATAGCCTTATGACCAAAACCAGAAGCCAAACCATTGAATGAGTGAATTGTATAAATGATGTGCCTAGCAATGAGCTTCAGCGTCAGAAAAGAAGAGTCTCATGTAAAATATTTAGTACTGTTAGAAAAAATAATCATAGTTCAAAATAAGAAAGTATATTAACCGCTCGCATGCTCTCCCTACCCACGCTGCTATTGGCTTCTCGGTATGTCAATCACTGGGTGCCGGCCACTGATTGTCGGGCGGGACTCAGTGATCATCGGCGGAGCTGGACAGGGGAGAGGTCTGTATGTAACGGACACAGATCTCTCCCCTGCCAGCATGAAAAGGCAAAGCAATACAAAGCAGCTTGTCTACATAGTAACACAGCACACTATGTAAAACACAACACAGCAAAATGTTAACCCTTTGATCGCCCCAGATGTTAACCCCTTCCTGCCCAGTGCCATTAGTACAGTGACAGTGCTTGTTATTAGCATTGATCACTGTATTAGTGTCATTGGGATGTCAGTGGCAACTAGTCAGTTCCCCCCCAGTGTCAGAATGCCTGCCGCAGTTCCGCAAGAAGTCATTGATCGCCACCATTACTAATAAAAAAAAAAGAAAGAAAAATAAAAATTCCAGTGTATATATATATATATATATATAGCCATTTGTAGACGCTATAACTTTCATATAAACCAATCACGTATTGGGATTTTTTTTAGCAAAAACATGTAGCAGAATAAATTTGGCCTAAATTTATGAAGAAATTTTATTTTTACATTTTTTTACTGGATATGTTTTATAGCAAAAAGTAAAAAATATAGGCTTTTTTTTTTCAAAATGGTTTGTATTTTGTTGTTTATAAATGTCATTTATGTGCAATTGTTAGTTAAAGTAACGCAGAGCCGTATCTCAAAAAATGGCCTGGTTGGGAAGGGGGGGTAAATCCTCTGGAGGGCAAGTGGTTAAACTTTGCAAATGCTGCAAAAACAGTGGCAGCCTGTGCCTTGTAGGTAGCTTATAGTAACAATTGTACAATAAATCATTGATGTTACTTTGTGTGTACTTTACAAGTACTTTTCAGCATGTACAAAAAAAAGCTGCAAAACATACATTATAGTTAGAGTGGCAGTAATGTCAGTTTCTGTACTTGTACGTACGGGTAAGCCTGTAGGTACTGTAAATATCTCCTAAACCTGCACTGTTTAGGAAACATTTACCTCTGTAGAGCATGGGCATCGGTAAAGGTTACAGTTTACTATCGCTTTAATAATTAAAGAAAAAGGAAACTGTAGTAAATAAAGAAAAAAAAATCAATATAACAATTATCTATATTATAAGAATATA